TGTCTTTTGTCCTGGTGATGTTCTTTATTACAGTACAGTGTATGGTGTGTTTTGTCCTGATCATGTTGTTCTTTATTACAGTACAGTGTGTGGTGTGTTATAATGATAATATTGTTCTTTATTACAGTACAGTGTGTGGTATGTTATAATGATAATGTTGTTCTTTATTACAGTACAGTGTGTGGTGTGTTTTGTCCAGTGTGTAGTGTGATAATGTTCTTCTTTATTACAGTACAGTGTGTGGTGTGTTTTGTCCTGGTGATGTTCTTTATTACAGTACAGTGTGTGGTGTGTTTTGTCCTGGTGATGTTGTTCTTTATTACAGTACAGTGTGTGGTGTGTTTTTTCCTGATAATGTTGTTCTTTATTACAGTACAGTGTGTGGTGTGTTTTGTCCTGATCATGTTGTTCTTTATTACAGTACAGTGTGTGGTGTGTTTTGTCCGTGTTAATGTTGTTCTTTATTACAGTACAGTGTGTGGTGTGTTTTGTCCTGGTGATGTTGTTCTTTATTACAGTACAGTGTGTGGTGGTTTTTATCCTGTTACTGTTGTTCTTTATTACAGTACAGTGTGTGGTGTGTTTTGTCGTGGTGATCTTGTTCTTTATTACAGCACAGTGTGTAGTGTGTTTTGTCGTGGTGATCTTGTTCTTTATTACAGTACAGTGTGTGGTGTGTTTTGTCCTGGTGATGTTCTTTATTACAGTACAGTGTGTGGTGTGTTTTGTCCTGGTGTACAGTGTGTGGTGTGTGTTGTCCTGGTGATGTTGTTCTTTATTACAGTACAGTGTGTAGTGTGTGTTGTCCTGGTGATGTTCTTTATTACAGTACAGTGTGTGGTGTGTTTTGTCCTGATAATGTTGTTCTTTATTACAGTACAGTGTGTGGTGTGTTTTGTCCTGGTGATGTTCTTTATTACAGTACAGTGTGTGGTGTGTTTTGTCCTGATAATGATGTTCTTTATTACAGTACAGTGTGTTGTGTGTTTTGTCCTGATAATGTTGTTCTTTATTACAGCACAGTGTGTGGTGTGTTTTGTCCTGATAATGTTGTTCTTTATTACAGCACAGTGTGTGGTGTGTTTTGTCCTGATAATGTTGTTCTTTATTACAGTACAGTGTGTGGTGTGTTTTGTCCTGGTGATGTTCTTTATTACATTACAATGTGTGGTGTGTTTTATCCTGATAATGTTGTTCTTTATTACAGTACAGTGTGTAGTGTGTTTTGTCCTGGTGATGTTCTTTATTACAGCACAGTGTGTAGTGTGTTTTGTCCTGATAATGTTGTTCTTTATTACAGTACAGTGTGTGGTGTGTTTTGTCCTGGTGATGTTCTTTATTACATTACAGTGTGTGGTGTGTTTTGTCCTGTTAATGTTGTTCTTTATTACAGTACAGTGTGTGGTGTGTTTTGTCCTGGTGATGTTCTTTATTACATTACAGTGTGTGGTGTGTTTTGTCCTGATAATGTTGTTCTTTATTACAGTACAGTGTGTAGTGTGTTTTGTCCTGGTGATGTTCTTTATTACAGCACAGTGTGTAGTGTGTTTTGTCCTGATAATGTTGTTCTTTATTACAGTACAGTGTGTGGTGTGTTTTGTCCTGGTGATGTTCTTTATTACATTACAGTGTGTGGTGTGTTTTGTCCTGATAATGTTGTTCTTTATTACAGCACAGTGTGTGGTGTGTTTTGTCCTGGTGATGTTCTTTATTACAGTACAGTGTGTGGTGTGTTATAATGATAATGTTGTTCTTTATTACAGTACAGTGTGTGGTGTGTTTTGTCCTGGGGATGTTCTTTATTACAGTACAGTGTGTGGTGTGTTTTGTCCTGTTAATGTTGTTCTTTATTACAGTACAGTGTGTGGTGTGTTTTGTCCTGGTGATGTTGTTCTTTATTACAGTACAGTGTGTGGTGCGTTTTATCCTGTTAATGTTGTTCTTTATTACAGTACAGTGTGTGGTGTGTTTTGTCCTGGTGATGTTCTTTATTACATTACAGTGTGTGGTGTGTTTTATCCTGTTAATGTTGTTCTTTATTACAGTACAGTGTGTGGTGTGTTTTGTCCTGGTGATGTTGTTCTTTATTACAGTACAGTGTGTGGTGCGTTTTATCCTGATAATGTTCTTCTTTATTACAGTACAGTGTGTGGTGTGTTTTGTCCTGGTGATGTTGTTCTTTATTACAGTACAGTGTGTGGTGTGGTTTATCCTGATAATGTTCTTCTTTATTACAGTACAGTGTGTGGTGCGTTTTATTACAGTACAGTGTGTGGTGCGTTTTATCCTGATAATGTTCTTCTTTATTACAGTACAGTGTGTAGTGTGTTTTGTCCTGATAATGTTGTTCTTTATTACAGCACAGTGTGTAGTGTGTTTTGTCCTGATAATGTTGTTCTTTATTACAGTACAGTGTGTGGTGCGTTTTATCCTGTTAATGTTGTTCTTTATTACAGTACAGTGTGTAGTGTGTTTTGTCCTGGTGATGTTGTTCTTTATTACAGTACAGTGTGTGGTGCGTTTTATCCTGATAATGATGTTCTTTATTACAGTACAGTGTGTAGTGTGTTTTGTCCTGGTGATGTTGTTCTTTATTACAGTACAGTGTGTGGTGCGTTTTATCCTGGTGATGTTGTTCTTTATTGCAGTACAGTGTGTGGTGTGTTTTGTCCTGGTGATGTTGTTCTTTATTACAGTACAGTGTGTAGTGTGTTCTGTCCTGGTGATGTTCTTTATTACAGTACAGTGTGTGGTGTGTTTTGTCCTGGTGATGTTCTTTATTACAGTACAGTGTGTGGTGTGTTTTGTCCTGGTGATGTTGTTCTTTATTACAGTACAGTGTGTGGTGTGTGTTGTCCTGGTGATGTTCTTTATTACAATACAGTGTGTAGTGTGTGTTGTCCTGGTGATGTTCTTTATTAGAGTACCGTGTGGTATGTTATAATAATAATGTTGTTCTTTATTACAGTACAGTGTGTGGTGTGTTTTGTCCTGATAATGTTGTTCTTTATTACAGTACCGTGTGTGGTGTGTTTTGTCCTGATAATGTTGTTCTTTATTAGAGTACCGTGTGGTATGTTATAATAATAATGTTGTTCTTTATTACAGTACAGTGTGTAGTGTGTTCTGTCCTGGTGATGTTCTTTATTACAGCACAGTGTGTAGTGTGTTTTGTCCTGATAATGTTGTTCTTTATTACAGTATAGTGTGTGGTTTGTTTTGTCCTGGTGATGTTCTTTATTACAGCACAGTGTGTAGTGTGTTCTGTCCTGGTGATGTTCTTTATTACAGCACAGTGTGTAGTGTGTTTTGTCCTGATAATGTTGTTCTTTATTACAGTACAGTGTGTAGTGTGTTCTGTCCTGGTGATGTTCTTTATTACAGCACAGTGTGTAGTGTGTTTTGTCCTGATAATGTTGTTCTTTATTACAGTACAGTGTGTAGTGTGTTTTGTCCTGATAATGTTGTTCTTTATTACAGTATAGTGTGTGGTTTGTTTTGTCCTGGTGATGTTGTTCTTTATTACAGTACAGTGTGTGGTTTGTTTTGTCCTGGTGATGTTGTTCTTTATTACAGTACAGTGTGTGGTATGTTATAATGATAATGTTGTTCTTTATTACAGTATAGTGTGTGGTTTGTTTTGTCCTGGTGATGTTGTTCTTTATTACAGTACAGTGTGTGGTATGTTATAATGATAATGTTGTTCTTTATTACAGTATAGTGTGTGGTTTGTTTTGTCCTGGTGATGTTGTTCTTTATTACAGTACAGTGTGTAGTGTGTTCTGTCCTGGTGATGTTCTTTATTACAGTACAGTGGGTGGTGTGTGTTGTCCTGGTGATGTTGTTCTTTATTACAGTACAGTGTGTGGTGTGTGTTGTCCTGGTGATGTTCTTTATTACAGTACAGTGTGTAGTGTGTGTTGTCCTGGTGATGTTCTTTATTACAGTACAGTGTGTGGTGTGTTTTGTCCTGATAATGTTGTTCTTTATTACAGTACAGTGTGTGGTGTGTTTTGTCCTGGTGATGTTCTTCTTTATTACAGTACAGTGTGTGGTGCGTTTTATCCTGATAATGATGTTCTTTATTACAGTACAGTGTGTAGTGTGTTTTGTCCTGGTGATGTTGTTCTTTATTGCAGTACAGTGTGTGGTGTGTTTTGTCCTGGTGATGTTGTTCTTTATTACAGTACAGTGTGTAGTGTGTTTTATCCTGATAATGTTGTTCTTTATTACAGTACAGTGTGCGGTGTGTTTTTTCTCCTAATGGTTTTGTCGACCTTGTTTGATGTGATGTACTCTCGGCACCAGAAAAAATTCAACATGACCGTTCCGTATGAGAACGGAGTAACTTCAGAGAGTAAATATCGTGTTAACGGAGATGTCGAGAATTCTTCAAAACCTAGACAACCAGGTAATACAGCACAAATAACCATGTAATACAACCAAACCCACACAACCAGGTAATACAACGCAAATAACCAGGTAATACAACAAAACTAACCGGGTAATACAACAAAACACCAACAACCAGTTAATATAACACAAATAACCACAACACACACTATCAGGTATTATAACACAACACACACTATCAGGTATTACAACACGAACAACCTTGTATTACAGTGCTACAGAAACCGTGGCATATTTCCCTAAGGACTGTTATCGAATTCTTGTCTGTATAGAGTCGGAAACTTTTCCTGAATCCGAATTCAATTCTAACGGAACTGCCTGAACAATTCCGATTGATAATCCACGCCACTCGGAGCTTGTAACCATAAGAAACATAACTTCGCTCTCATAAATATATTTATTCCGTCTAAAGTAAAACCAGAATTTGAAATAAATGGATATATTACATCTCTCAAAGAAACAACAAACTAAGCTGGAGTACATTCTATTTTGTCCACGTATCATTAAAGACATTGTTTAAGCTTGATCTGAGCTAAACATTTCAGGCCTTTCATGTCTTTTCTACAGGTATCTGTGCGAGACTTGCCATGACGTTTTCTGTGTACACTAATGGCCGGAAGTTGATGAGCACAAAACAGGCAGGTGGCGCTCTTGGTGCCATCAACGGAATTCGATTCCTCAGCATTTCCTGGGTGGTTCTAGGACACTCATTTTCGTCGGATATGAATAATCTTCGTAAGTCCATAATCGGGATACAAATGGTAGTTTTGCCAGCCTTCATTAACATCTGAGTTTGTATACCGATGATGTCACATGACGTCATTAGCATCTAATGATTTATACAATTAGTATTACGACCCAGAATACGCCTTGTTGTTACCAGGAATATAACCAAAAGTTCTAAATCATCTTTACCTTACAGCTCGATAGAAAACTAAAGTAAGATGTTAAATGTTTATAAAGCAGATAGCAAATTACATATGCTTTATAGTTTTACCTTTCGAAATTGTTTGACTCAGATATAGGATTTATAGAAGTACAATAGGAGAACAAAAATGTAGTGCCATGAATGTATCATTGAGTTATACTGACTCTGTTTCTTGGTGCACTAAGAGAACAAAGAAAGTAGTGCCATCAGTGTATCATTGAGTTATACTGACTCTGTCTCTCGGTGCACTAAGAGAACAAAGAAAGTAGTGCCATCAGTGTATCATTGAGTTATACTGACTCTGTCTCTCGGTGCACTAAGAGAACAAAGAAAGTAGTGCCATCAGTGTATCATTGAGTTATACTGACTCTGTCTCTCGGTGGATGGTAAATTGGTATTTTGAGTGGCTTTAATTGATTCTAATAGAGTTCTACGCAAGCAGTAGACTGGATTATCTACATTATAACTTCTCAAATATCTTATTATGCTAGATCAGTAAATTGTCACTGGAACAGTGGTAGACTATGTGTTGATAATAATTCAAATTAACATAAAGGCGTCTCTAAGGAATCTATAGTTAAATTCAATAGGATGTTATCTTTTAAAGCATTGGATATAGATAACTTGTTATATGTTAAAACAGTTCTTTATCAATTGTCTTTTATCAATTAGTGACCTCTGTTGAAATACTTGGAATATCCCAAGTAGAGGCCATTAAAATGTACTTTCTAACATACTGTTTCTTCTTTATAGAAACCATTATTAAAACTGGCTACATTATGTCAGAAGGATTAGACATCAGTATTTTATGTCAGAAATATGAATGTGAAAAAGTCTTTTCTTGCAGAAAATCCTACATTTATGGCGGATTTCATAAGCAACTGGACATCCATGGTTTTGGTCAATGGTCTCCTGTCTGTAGACTCATTTTTCACCCTAAGGTAAGTGAAAAAGACAAACCTAGGGTCAAATCCCACCATTTTCAAGGTACATGACATAATTGGATAATATGACGGAACTCCTTCACCAATAGGAACGTCAAGTAGAGGGGTATTAGGATCAAGCTCTTTCTCCCTACGGTATGTTATAAAGAGGAAGTCCTTTATCCTCGGGTACATGTACGTCCTTTCCCCTTAGTTATGTAAAATAGAAAACTCCTTCTCTCTTAGGTATGCCAAATAGAGGACCTACTTCTCCCTCAGGTATGTCAAAAATAGAAAACTCCATCTCCCTCAGGTATGTCAAAAAGAGCAACTCCTTCTCCCTCAGGTATGTCAAATAGAAAACTCCATCTCCCTCAGGTATGTCAAAAAGAGCAACTCCTTCTGCCACAGGTACATTAAATACTGAAACACCTTCCCCATCAGGTTTGTCAAATACTGAAACTCCTTAACCCTCAGGTATGTCAAATAGAGCAAACAAGGATCATTTGGTATTATGTCCTAACCAGTCGCCATACCCTTGTGTATTACATTTGGTATTATGTCCTAACCAGTCCCCATATCCTTGTGTATTACATTTGGTATTATGTCCTAACCAGTCCCCATATCCTTGTGTATTACATTTGGTATTATGTCCTAACCAGTCCCCATACCCTTGTGTATTACATTTGGTATTATGTCCTAACCAGTCCCCATATCCTTGTGTATTACATTTGGTATTATGTCCTAACCAGTCGCCATACCCTTGTGTATTACATTTGGTATTATGTCCTAACCACTCCCCATATCCTTGTGTATTACATTTGGTATTATGTCCTAACCAGTCGCCATACCCTTGTGTATTACATTTGGTATTATGTCCTAATCCGTTCCCATATTCTTGTGTATTACATTTGGTATTATGTCCTAACCAGTCCCAATATCCTTGTGTATTACATGTGTCATTTGGCGCTAATTGGTCCCCCTACACTTGTATGGCGACTCTGACGTTGCTTTGCAGTACATTTACGAATGATAAATATGTTACAGCGGGCTGCTGGTGTCCTACCTGTTTATGAGGGAGATGAAAAGGGAAAAGGGACGAATAAACTGGTTCATGTTCTACTTTCACCGCTTCTGGAGGTAAGTATGACATGGAAATGTCATGTTTATCGAACTAAGTGCCATTTCAAATGAACTTTTACATTTCGCAAACCTATAATTACATCTACAAATGAATGGCGCGGTGTATTCAATATATTTCTTTGTTCTATACCTGGGGACATATTATTAAGTATCATATCGTATTGTTGTTCTTTAGTTGGTAGACAGTAGTGATTACATGTCGTTATCCTCGATTGTCGGACTCAGATTTATACTTTGCGGGTGACATTTAATAACGTATAACTGCACGAATGAAATAAATGATTGATTTAGTAATATAAAAAAGTTCTGTTATCTTTTTTCAAGTTGTCTTCTGCATATTTCAGGCTTACTCCAGCTTATATGTTGGTACTATTTCTCGATATGTCTCTGCTTCGCTATCTCGGGGACGGACCGTTCTGGAGTAAAGAGGGATTGGAACCCAATTGCAGGGAGAACTGGTGGACGAATCTCCTATACATCAACAATGTCTACAAAAAACGGAAAATGGTAGATACACCTTTATAGATGGCTCATCATTTTAAAACATGAGTGATATTGATAATGTGACCGATAAATACATGTGTTTGTTGCTATACAATGAATCCTGTTGTAGCGTATTGTCATGTTGTTTGCAGTGTTTTGGCTGGTCTTGGTATCTGGCCAATGACATGCAGTTCTATGTCGTGAGCCCTCTCCTTTTGGTGCCTCTTTATTTGTAAGTAATTTTTTTGTGTTTGCTTTTATTTTTAGTTTTGTTTTTGACATATTTGTCATACGTCAATTTCCTTTATTGTCTAACTACATATGACCATTTCTTGATTTTACAGCTGGAAAAAAATAGGATTATTTGTAAGCTTCTTGGCGTTATTGGGAATCTGGATAGTAACCGGAATTATATCTGGACATTACGAGCTCTTACCCACATTGTTTTCTACAGACACCGCAAGAATGATGTAAGTAGAAATATTTTGGTTCTCTTGTCTGTTCTTACCATATTGTAATTTGTAATATTTTGACATTTGTTATATCTTTCTTCGTTACAATGGATATTGATGTCATGAAGTTCCGCTACGTCATAATACAAGTGCATCATAATGAAATATATGTAATGGGTTTGATAATACTGATAACAAGGCTAAATGTGATAAAGAAAGTCTATCTTAGAGATGCTTAAAACTGACAATGCAAGTGGTGACCAATAATATAATAATTCATTTCCTTCTTCTGAAAGAACACGATAGGGGTTGCGTTGTTATGAATTTATTTGTTGGTATGTTTTTTCCGAGCAAAACATACATCTCATTTCATTTATATAAACGGAAAAATAAATAAATGACTATTTATGTTAATTGGATAATATTTATCTGTTTGTCATATATACCTACTCAACGTCAATGTTGAAGATCTTGGGTTCTTGGAAGAAAAAAAAAGATAAAATTAATGTTGTTAAATCTATATGAAGATGAGCCGCGTTGCCCTGTCATTAAAGTAATGATAACCGGTTTGATAAGTTGCAGACCTCTTTACCCTGGGATGCCCGTACATGTTTCCAAACAAGGCTTGGACTAAACTGTTGGTCTTTCTTCACAATCAATGTCAGATGTGTCAGGCGGTTGGTCTTGTCTCCATCAATGTCAGATGTGTCATGCGGTTGGTCTTGTCTCCATCAATGTCAGATGTGTCAGGCGGTTGGTCTTGTCTCCATCAATGTCAGATGTGTCAGGCGGTTGGTCTTGTCTCCATCTATGTCAGATGTGTCAGGCGGTTGGTCTTGTCTCCATCAATGTCAGATGTGTCAGGCGGTTGGTCTTGTCTCCATCTATGTCAGATGTGTCAGGCGGTTGGTCTTGTCTCCATCTATGTCAGATGTGTCAGGCGGTTGGTCTTGTCTCCATCTATGTCAGATGTGTCAGGCGGTTGGTCTTGTCTCCATCTATGTCAGATGTGTCAGGCGGTTGGTCTTGTCTCCATCTATGTCAGATGTGTCAGGCGGTTGGTCTTGTCTCCATCAATGTCAGATGTGTCAGGCGGTTGGTCTTGTCTCCATCTATGTCAGATGTGTCAGGCGGTTGGTCTTGTCTCCATCTATGTCAGATGTGTCAGGCGGTTGGTCTTGTCTCCATCTATGTCAGATTTGTGAGGCGGTTAGTTCTTTTCTTTAGCAACTTATTATTTTCACTTTTGTACGGCGCGTGGCATTTTCAACCTCAACTGAATCTGTTTGATTTTTCTGTTCTTTGCCATCTGGATTTGATAAGGGCTTCTTTGTCATAGTGTTAAGGAACATGATATTTCTTTTGTGTGTTAAGCATTGTCAAATAGACGAATACTTAGCATTTCCCTCCATGTATTGAACATAGGTTGATGAGGAACCTGGCCTTTCCTTCACGTGTTAAATATTGTCAGATTGACGAAGAATTTGACCTTTCCTTCACGTGTTAAATGTTGTCTGATTGACGAAGAATTTGACCTTTCCTTTACGTGTTAAATATTGTCTGATTGACGAAGAATTTGACCTTTCCTTCACGTGTTAAATATTGTCTGATTGACGAAGAATTTGACCTTTCCTTCACGTGTTAAATATTGTCTGATTGACGAAGAATTTGACCTTTCCTTCACGTGTTAAATATTGTCTGATTGACGAAGAATTTGACCTTTCCTTCACGTGTTAAATATTGTCTGATTGACGAAGAATTTGACCTTTCCTTCACGTGTTAAATGTTGTCTGATTGACGAAGAATTTGACCTTTCCTTCACGTGTTAAATGTTGTCTGATTGACGAAGAATTTGACCTTTCCTTCACGTGTTAAATGTTGTCTGATTGACGAAGAATTTGACCTTTCCTTCACGTGTTAAATATTGTCAGATTGACGAAGAATTTGACCTTTCCTTCACGTGTTAAATATTGTCAGATTGACGAAGAATTTGACCTTTCCTTCACGTGTTAAATATTGTCAGATTGACGAAGAATTTGGCCTTTCCTTCAAGTGTTAAATATTGACAGATTGACGAAGAACTTGGCTTTTCATTTGTGTCTTAGACATCGTGAGGTGACAAGAAATCTGGCCTTTCCTTCATGTGTTAAACCATCGTGAACAAGATGAGTTATATTGTCATTCATTTGAACCATTTCTCTTCAACAGGATCTTCGTTTCTTGTGTAATGTTATAAATGAGATTCATATTTTCGATAATGTAAAGTGAATATCTTTTTTTTTTCAGGGCCCAACAGGATAAATACTTTTATGAGTATTACATAGTACCTTGGTGCCGCATGGGACCTTACATCGTTGGTATAGTGACCGGGTACATCATCTACAAGACCGACGGCAAATTTAAAATACCAAAGGTGTGGCATTCGTGAAGTAAACAGCTTAAAGTCACCTTTCATAGACAGTATGAATGCTGTCTGCATTAAAAAAAACTTACATAATTCGCATAGGATCGATATTCACTGGTATAATAATATCTATGGTGATTCTTTCTACAAATTTCACCTTGTTAATATCCAAATAAGGCAAAAATCATCTGTAATACATATAAGATATATTAGACTTACCATTTCCATTGTTTACATGTTACCTACTACATGCAATTAACATCACGCACAAGGTCTTACAATGTTGGTTTTTAAATCTCTGTCTCTCTGTCGGCCCCCACCCCCTACCCAACCACCTACTCAATCCTAGTTTTCTTTCATCCTGTTAAATATACATTGTGGTACTTATTTTGAAAAGGGTATCAACATGTTGGTTTGGACAGCAATTGCCTTGACCGCATTACTTGTTGTGTATGGAATAAACGGCCCTGTCGAAGGCGATGATTGGGGTAATGGCGTGAACGCGCTCTACAACGCCGTCCATCGTTCCGTTTGGGGCATGTGCGTTTGCTGGGTCATATTTGCATGTGTCACAGGCAACGGAGGTAAGGATGAATGAAATCATTTTAAGTTTGGGTCATATTCGGATGTGCCACGGGCTATGGGGTAATAATGAATACTTAATTTGCCATGCATAATTATTATTTTAACAACATCCTATCGTAAAAGTCGAATTGTATGAATCGGATTTATCAGAATTGGCAGGTCTTTACCCAATATTAATCAATTGAAGGTACTCCTAGCTTTGTGTTTGATTAAATATTATCGATATCATCATACAATTTCAATTTAAACCCGTATATATTTATCTCTTTTTTTTTGCAGGAATAGTGAACGACTTTCTCTCCTGGAAGCTGTTCGTCCCCCTCGGTAAACTCAGCTATTGCATCTATCTGACACATCTCCTCGTCCTGGAGTACTATCTTCTCTCAATGCGACAATCTATGTATGCCACCACTCTTGAATTGGTAAGTAACTTCGTTTGAATTGTGATATGTATCTATTTAGATAGTTCGGCACCATTATAGAAAGATTAGGTCAATGATGTGTCGTCCTTTAAGTAACTTTTTGGGTTTGATCTGTTGGGTTATAGTTAAGATATTTGGAGCGAAGCATAAACATTTAGTCATTCTTATGGAAGGACCGATTTGGCGTCAAGGGTTGTAAATTATCCAAGATGTGATGGGACGAAGGTCGATCAAATTTGCTTGATCTTCGAAACGCACCGAATGAAGAACATGGACGATACGTTTTATACCAACTCAGTTGTTGGGGTTGATGATTACAAATCAGAAGTTTGGGTTGATATTTAGGTTGATCTCTTGTTGTTAGCGATTTGATGTTTGCTTGTAAATAAATGATACGAATTAATATTTGCATTTTAATAATTTAATACTTTGTTCTTATTTCTAAACTATTCCTAAGTTCCCAACTTCTTCCGTATCTCATTTCAGACTTTCCTTTTCCTTGGAACCTTGATGTTGTCCATTCTGGTGTCTATTGTCGCTTCGCTCGCTTTTGAGGCCCCGATGATGGCTCTGGAGAAGGTTGTATTTCGACGAGGCAAAAAATGAAACGTGCAACAACTTATCGGAAGCTGGAAGTCAGAGATTATAACAGGCATCATATCAAGTATATGAATTCTGTCGTCATTGTAATGAATGAACCAACTCTAGCTACAATTGATGGCATTCCTGAAATAACTTTTTTCTATCAATTTTCTCTCTCAAAGTTGAAAAGTATTAAATATCTCATGTACAATGATCACTTCTTAATTTTGCATCTGAATGGAAATCAAGCATTCCTTTAATAGTCCTTCTGTGCTTGATTCATTCCGAAATATTAAAACAACAAGAAAATACCAACTTGTCAACCTAATCATAATCCAAAATTCAAATTCAATAAAACTAGAGCAAAATATTAACATTTATTAAGATTTACTCGGAGATTCCTGCAAAAGTATAAAAGGCATCGGATCAGATGTTCCGGAAGATTAGGTGTCTTCTGATTCATCGACGACACCAGTTAACTCCCCTATCAATTCATAAACCTGGATCTTTTGAAACCCTATGCTATGAGTTTGTTTCTAAGCGGACGAAAATTGTGATAATAGGAACAGGTCCTTGAATATCGAAACAACTGCGATATATAGTTTGGTGGAAATATGTCCACGTTGGTTTCTTTTTAGGAAAAGATCGAGATAAGAGACTGTCTCAGAAGAGTATGTCGTGTCCCTGATTGCCAATTCTGCTGGGTATAAATGCTGGTAGTGGTCAATAAATTTCTTGTTATTTGAAGAAAAGACGTCATCAAAATATTTTTCAAAATGAAATTAAGAGATATTGCAGTGTCTTTGTGGCCTGTTTAGATAAGCCTTTCGATAAATTCGACTTCGTATTAAAACAAAACAAGTCAGCCAACACAGGGACATAGTTCATAGTTAGTTACAATCATATATTGGTACTGCTGTTCACCTTTCTTGGAAAAGAAATCTGTCATAACGAGAGAACATTCTCTCATATAAGACTGGGATATGGTAGTATACTGAGGGGGAAAATCAAATGTTCTTACAGAAGAAATGCTATTTAGGTGAGGGTGTTGAAGATTGGTTAGAAGCTCTTTGGGGTTCTTTGAAAGCCACAAACTATTTATTTCACTTCGTGAGTAAACAGTATCAAAATTAGACTACAACATATTTTTGGTTGAACAGCTAGACGGGTCAGCAATGAAACGTTGTTTATAAGGATTCTTGTGAAGTAATCTATTATTAACAGGGATGTTGGAAAGGGGGCGTATCATTATCATTAATAGACATTCTATTGGAATTATTGCATAATGTATCAGTGTCTGTATACAAGAATCAAGTTAGTGAATGAGAACAAAGCAAAAGTCTGTATTCCACGACTCCGATGGTTAGGCACCATTAAACGATTTGCATGATAGATACATGTATGTGATTGTGCCTGCAGATAAAATAACTTCTCATTTATTCTTTGTCTGTAGATATTATTACATATCCTGCATACAGGAAAATACGGCTGGTTGAAAACCCGAAGGAATCCTACGTTCATATTATCCAGTCTTTCAAGAGATTAAGTACTAACAAATCACGTTTCGATTTCACAAAGAATTTATCAGTTAATGTTTGGTTACGGACCTTCTGCGTTTATCTTGGATTCCTAAACTTTACAAAAATCGATTTATAAAACGTTGTATCGATAGCACGTCTAGCTCTTTTATCCAAGCTTCTTATTACTATTCCTGTTATGATCAAATCAGGGATACGATATTATCACTGTTTATTCTTACACTAGAAGTAAAAGTAACGGAATGTGAATTGTTAAGTACTTCAAAGAAGAACACTCTTTTTACCACTATGTTCACTTCAACACTTCTTTCAAAAGAATGCATCTGGTGGTACAAGTACAGTTACACGTATGTTAAGTATTCTGAAATGTATTCCGCGAAAAGTTCGCTAAAGCAGGAAATTGTGAAGTTTAAAACGAAACTGAATTTAAAGAAGAGCTTGTCAAAACATGGCAAAAAGCCGCTGTCCAGCGTGTAGATGACTTGTTAAGATATATTGATGATATACTGTATTTTCATAACAAGATATTTATTTACTCTGTACATAGTATATACCAACAGACTAAGAAATCAAGGATCCAGGATATTCTTTATCAGCTATTCCAACAGTTCCAAAAGGTGCAAATTGCTACCAAGCTGTATGATTAACGTGATGATTTCCATTTCAATATAGTTGATTTTCTATTTCTCTGGCCAAATATTCGCTTGTTCCAGATATCAGGAGTTTTAATAAATTACTCGACAACTGACAAATTTACTACACAGGTATTCGAGTAATCCAGGTTGAAAAGTTTTGTGGTCGCCAACGAAATTTCATTGAGAAACATTTCAATTCATGGCGTGATATGACTTTTTGATTTCGATGTTCGCTGGCATGTCTGGTGTTAGGTGTTTACATGTATCTTGTTCGCTTTTATCACGTCACATGATATACTTCAACTGACCAAGAATAACTTTTATTCGTTCATACTATGTCCTCGTTTCTACGATTTTGAATTCGGATTACAATTAGATTGTGTTGTAGGTTTTTCTGTTTTCGTTACCTAAGAAAATATGTTTGTGACAAAACCAATATAATACGATATAACACACATTCATATCAAGCACATGTCTCGTACATGTGGAAAACCAAAAACTCAACAGAATCCTAAATTCAATAAAACCAGAGCAAAACTACAATGAGTATAATACGATCTACATATCATAATACAATACATACATGTATTTTTTTTTTTAATTTTCCTGGACATCCCTCGGATAAATCTATCTGCTTCAATCGTAATTATGATCCAAGACTACATGTAAAAAATCCGAAATTGATTGAATCACGGACAACATTTTGAACAAAGATCTACAGCTAACAGCTTTTGAGGGTCGTACAGCCGTTTATAAACATACTCAAATGTGCTAGGTTTCCCATGTTCACAACTCCACCAAGGGTTAAAAACTACGGTAAAATGTATTACGACTAACGACGGTTTTAAGTGTCCAGTTTACAAAACAATTATCACAAATTATGTTCTTTTTTCAAAAGGATTCATCATGGTATATTCCACAAGAAAAAACAAAGCATTTTGGTGTGAAGAGCACAGAGTATATACTAAATAAATTGTAGAAAGTTGAATGGAACTTGTTAGGATTCAAGAAATATTTGTTATTGAAGAGATGGAATTTACTGTCACAGAAACAAGGAACAAGGGACACAAAAAAAAACAATGTTATTGAAGAGATGAAATTTACTGCTACAGAGACAACTAATAAGGAGCACCAAAAACAATGTTATTGAAGAGATGAAATTTACTGTCTCAGAAACAATTATTATTACATTTATATAATAAATGGATCAGTCATACAATATGACCATAGATAAATAAAAACATCAACCACTTAAAAAGGACAATATCTAATACAATTTTTATATCGATATCACTTATTTGAAGGCCGCATGAAAAATCTGGATATTTAGTGGAATAAGATTATTCAGGTTACAAATGGAATTCAGAATAATATTTCTTTGGTTAGTGTAGAGAGGACAATGAAGAAACATATGCTTACAGTCTCCAATTTGATAACCACACAGGGAGGCAGGACTATCATTTAAATGAGAGTTAAACAAGTCAGATTTTTAGTTAGTAAGTTTCTAAGTTGATATAATATTAAGTTTTATCGCCATGGTAATTGAAGATATCAACACATAAAGATTGTAAATGGACATGATTATGATGTCAAAATCCTTCTGTAAAATTATAGAAAGAAACACACAGACAGGATCATCCAATTCTGCTGTAAGAGAAGGAAAGAAAATATTACGATATAAATAGTCTTTATTTTATCATTCTAGTGTCATAAGGAGCCCGTTTAGTCTTTATTTTATCATTCTAGTGTCATAAGGAGTCCGTTTAGTCTTTATTTTATCATTCTAGTGTCATAAGCAATCCGTTTAGTCTTTATTCTATCATTCTAGTGTCATAAGCAATCCGTTTAGTCTTTATTCTATCATTCTCATGTCATAAGGAGCCCGTTTAGTCTTTATTCTATCATTCTCATGTCATAAGGAGTCCGTTTAGTCTTTATTTTATCATTCTCATGTCATAAGGAGTCCGTTTAGTCTTTATTTTATCATTCTAGTGTCATAAGGAGTCCGTTTAGTCTTTATTTTATCATTCTCGTATTGACAACATCTTCGTTGCGTTTGGTGGTAAGATCTTCTTACAGACTATTGGCATTCCTATGGGAAACAACTGCCCCCTTGGTTTCGAAAAGTTCCAAAATTTAGTCCAAGATGCAGGTGTATTGTGTAATTTAGCTTGTGAATGCGGACTATTTCTGTCTCATGTCATTACCTGTTTGTCGTATCTTAATCTCATAGTAGTAGATGTTATGCACCCGACAGTGATGTTTGTTCAATCTTTAATCATAACTATTTATAGTCAGTGATGTAATACATATAGCTATTGTCAGTATCGTCCGCACTGAATGGCCAGGGATAACTTTCAGTAGATTTACACACTCATAAAGATAAGTTATCTCGAACAAATCACCAACGTATGTCTCATCGCCCCATTCCAGCGTTGTCAGTCATCTCCACCGTCCGTATCAGAAAAAAACATATACATATATGGTTCTGTAAACAAAGTAAGGGGATTGGATAAGACATTTGCTTAAAATGTTTTCTGTCGGAGTCAAGCTTTAAGTATGTCTTTTCATACAATTTGACCAATAGCTTGGACAAAGAAAAAGAATATTGTAAAATTAATATCAATCTTAAATTTCGAACGATGCTCGACCTTGACCCAAATACAAAAGTTCAATATTTGTGCCGTCGGTCACATCAGTGGTGACACATTCCATAAGAACTGTTCTACAGATCCAGTGCTCTCCTGGAACAACACATGGACTCTCTATTAAGAATTTAGAAAAATGAATATGTACAGATATATTATAGTCTTTATTTTCGTCGTGTCATTAATGGTAGTCGGAGCGGCTG